CTTCCATGATGCCTGGGCAGGGAATAACCAGACTCATGAAGTCCCAACGGTTTTCCAAACTTACTTACCTTTTGGCCCCAGCTGAGGTGCAACATTTCATCCCAGAAACTCATTCTGGAAGGAACGTCCCTCTCACAGCTGCCCCTTCAGGGCCTACTGGTGCGTTTACCAAGTTTCCTGTTTAAGACAACTGGGAAGCTTGCCATAAGGGACTTCAGCTGTGCAGCTAGATCCACAAAAGCCCACCCTTTTCAGAGCCACAAAAACCAATAAGAAAACAAAAAATCAAATGAATTAACACAATGCAATAGCAAGACTTCCTGCATTAAGCCTCTACACTGGCTTCCAGTATACCACAGCTTCAGCTGGGCCCACAGGCAAGTCTCTCTGAATGGCACCAAAATACTGGTTCAGCTAGGCGCAGCTGAATAAACTGGGACAGCTCGTTAGCCTTATGCAAACAGAAATATGGAGTTTGCATATCCATCACAGCTTCTGGAAAAAGCTTCTGTCTGAGAAGCTGCTGAGCCCTGGGGCCAACTCAGTGAGCACCTATCAACACTTAGCACCCTCTCTCTGCCCCTACCTTGCTGATCACGCCAAGCAACAAAGTTATGTCTATTCCCACACTTCTGACATTGCTCTCACTGTCAACAGTAGCGTCGCACAGCATGGATCTGACTTGGTCTGAGGGATTCAGCGTACAGGGGAGAATCTGTTTGCTCATGGGTGGGGAGACACAGAAGGAACGCAAATCTCAAGCAGGTCAGAGCAATAGCTCAGGGGGAAAAAAAAAAATCCAAGCCCAGGAAGCAGCAGGCCAGTGCTTTAGCACCAGCTTCCCCACTATGATAACCCATGCAGGGTCAGAGCTCCCAGAACACAGACCTGCGTTCTGACCTCCGACATCCTTACTGTTGTCAGACCAGCCTGTGTATGGCAGGAGCTGCCAGCCATCAGGAAACAAGGAAAACCCCAAGGCCTCTTTTACCCAGACCCTGCGCTCCCATGGCATTGAGACAGCTGCCAGTAATCAGAAGGGCCATGTAGCAAAATGCTCTCAAAAATCCTAGGGGTAGGTCAAAAAATAGCAGAGAGAAGACCTTTCTACACAGTGGCTGATGTCAGCTCTCCCCAAAATGGGTCTCTGCTCCAGGGCACGTGAGGTAGCCTTTCCCCTTTCAGATCCGCGTCCGCAGCCAGGAGCGGAAAGAGACTCCCTCTGCAGCAGTTCAGCCACCACTTACTGTGCCCTCTTTTCCTCTAATTCTCATGAGGTAGCAAATTTTAGCCAGCAAGACAGACAATCCAGTGAGAGGATAATCAGTGCAGAGGACTTAGTGGAACATGGTACCCAAGCGCTGCTTCCGCTGCCTTCAATAGTTAACTGGTTACTGGAAAAAACAGTGCCTCTGGCCTTCCTCCGTTAATAAATAACTGATACAAAAATCACAAGAGTCCCAGCCATCCACTCTGATACAGGATTACATGACACAGAAAGGCCAGCATCATTCTCTGCCTGCCAAAGCTTCCAGAGAATTTCAACGCACTGCTGGACCAGCTCAGTGTTATTGCTACCAATAGTAACAACACAGCAATGGAAACAGAAGTGAAACCAAGAGCTTTGGAGCAGGCCTCAGTGAGATACTAATGCGTCAGCTCTGTAAACTGCCTAATGCAGACTATGATATTCAAGGCCCAACAGTGCTCATGCTCTCCTGAGGCCACTATGGAACTACACAGATAAGCATAACATTTGAGCTCTCTCCTGTGAAGGAAGCAGACAAAGTTGGAGATTAGCTTAATTCCCAGATCTGTACCTTTCTTCAAGACTTCCAAAAAAGCCTTCACAAACGGATTTGATCGGAAAATTTCTGGAGACAGCCACCAGCAGGAGTTTTACTTAACTTACGAACCTGTTCCAACTGCCCTGAAATAGCAGGGCTTGCTCTACTGCCCAACAAGCCAGCACAACTGCAACAAACAGTGACACAGCCTCACCCCCCTTCTGGGAAACCACCATCCAGCTAGCACAGGTCACAAGGGCAGACTCCAAATAACAAACAAGGGATGGACAGAGGAGGAAGTCAATAGGAAGCATCAGAAAAACACAGTCCTGATTGCTGCCTCATCAGATGTGCAGCATGATGCAAAGTCAGTGGGACAACATGAAGGCAGTTTCCTGCAAGCATTCTCCACTGAGTTGAAGCCCAGTTCTCCTTCATGGGGATTTATGTAAATCAAATATCCTCAACGACAACATTGTTGTCTCTATTTGGATACAGTCGGGGTGGAGGGTCTCTCTGCTTCTTCACAGCAGAGACACCCTCAGCTCAGAGCAGTTTAGCACTTGCAGTGCAGACATGCAAGAGGCTTACCACCACTCTAAGTACAATGAGCTCAAAGAGGACTTGAGGAATTTTAACTATGCTTCCTACACCTCTACGTATGCAGCTTTCAAGTGTGGATGGAGGGCCCAATGCCCACAGTGAGAGAGGACCAAAGCCAAATATATCTGCGCAGCAGAAAAGGTGCTGGGGAAAACCAGATTTTCTCTGCTGGTACTCACACTGCCCTTCTCCCCTGAGCATCCCCAAATTGACTGTGGTAGGTAACTACCTCCTCCTTGGAGGGTTCAGGACAGTAAACCTGTACCCCAATGCTGACCCAGACGTTCTTGAGGCGAGTCACAGAGCTGCATGTGGAGAGAGCAGGTGGGGAGACTACAAGTGAAAGAGGCAGGGAGCACATTTGAGAAGAGGGATTGACTAAGGGCTCAGCGCTCCAAGAACATGGGCCTTGTGCTCCAGGGCCATCTGCCTCCATCCCAACAAACCAGCGGCTTCCTTTCTCAGCATCTAAAACCAACACTTCCCTCCCCAGCTGCCTGCCCTGCTCTCACCTATAGTCACGTAGACAGTAACAGCACTTCTTACACTGCCACCTCGAAGCACAGCTGCCTTCCACCCACCCTGCAGGCAAGCTAGGGCCCAGGCTTTGGGAACGGCCAAGTTCTAGATGAAACACTCAGAAGTTTTATTTCAGCAGAAACGAGAAGACTGAACAGCGGCCGCCATTATCATCACTAGTTCCAATAAAAGTGAACAATGTTCAGGCCAAGACCCAGATCATGGTGGTTTACGAGCCATTTTTAACGGTGTTTGACCTTGATCCCAGAGACTGAACCATGTCCGAGCACAGCTGCACTATAGCCAGCCAGGGTTCACTGATTTACTTTGTGACCATTTTTGAGACATCGAGATCAGTTTTTGTTTTGTGCAGGAATTCAAACCAGAGTCCTCCAAATGATTTCAAAACACAGAATTGCACCAAAGCAGCTAGGTTCTAATGGATGGTTAAAAGTTTCTTGACTTATATTTCTCTTTTTTCAGAGATGTCAAGAGAGGCTTAAAATTAAGAAATATTTCTATCAAAAACATAATTGAAAACAATATCTTTCCAAGAAAAATGCTGGCTTCAACAAAACACTGTACTTTGGAGAAAATTCATTCAGTCAAAAAAAAAAATATATATATATATTTTTTTTTCCTGACCAGCTGTAGCTGCAAACAAGTTCAATACCCGTTGTAAAGCTTCATTGTTTGTATAGTACAGACAAGGCCTTAGGGAAATTGGTTTGCAGCCCAATTTGGCTAGCTTGCCTTTCAGAACATCACCTCTGGGCAAAGAAACCAGGCTATGACTGCCATCCACTGTGGCCTTTGCTACAACAGCTCCAACCACAACACAGACGGAGCTGGACACCTACAGAGTCAGTAATAGCTGGGTCTGAACAGCAGGACACACAGTGCAAGGCGCAGACAATGCGACTGAGGGAAGGAGTGAATACCATCAGCTAACCTTCTCCACGTGCACCCCAGCCTTGGCACTGCTGCCTGTCCTACTGTCACCCCCCCACACCCCCCCTCCCCAACATTCACACA